TCCTAAAGAGTTGTTAAAAGCCGTAGATTACTTAAAGAGAGAATTTAAGATAAAAGATCTTAAAAAAAAATCAAGTTTTATTTAGGTATTTAGATTGAATACTTAACAAATTAAAATTTTCTCCATCAATCAAATTATATACCAAAAGTGCTAAAACGATTTTATATGGACAAAACATATCTATTGAGTTCACCAATGATTGTAAGGTCATTAGATATGAAAAAGAACTTTTTTCAACCTTGTGTGGATGATGAAGAACTTTTTAGTCCTGAAGTATCGTATCTTATTACAATTGGAGCACTAGTATATCTTGCTAGTAATACAAGACTTGATATATGAATTGTCGTGAATTTATTAGCAAGATATAATTCTTCTCCAACTCGAAGACATTAGAATTAAATTAAACATATACTTCGATATCTCCAAGGAATAATGGATATGGAATTACATTATTCAAATACATCAAAATAAATTTTAATTAGTTGTGCACATACAGAATATTCATCTGATCCACACAAAGCTCGATCCTAGACAAGTTACTTATTCACATATGGAAGTATAGTTATTTCTAATAATCATGCAGAAATTTTAACAACTCATTAGCAAGTCGTAAATATTTCTGGTTAAGATTTGTAACTTAACGTATTTGAGAAACATATGGATTGCCAACCAAGAAAGAAATTTCAACAACGTTATATGAGGATAATACTGCTTGCATAGCACAGTTAAAGGAAGGATATATTAAAAGCGATCGAACAAAACACATAGTTCGCCAAAATCTTTCTTCACTCATGATTTTTAAGAAAAAGGGTGAAATTAGTGTTCAATAAATTCGGTCAAGTGACAATCTAGTAGATTTGTTTACCAAAGTTTTTCTTACTACAATATTTGAAAAGTAGGCATAAAAGATTAGAATTCATTATTTTAAAGATCTCTATAAAGCAGTCATTAGGGGAGTAAAATATGCATTATACTCTTTTTTCCTTCATCAAGTTTTTTCTTATTGGGGTTTTCTTGATAAGGTTTTTAATGAGGCAGTATTTCAAAAGTATATTCTTGAAAAGATTACGTACTTTTTTTTCTTCACTTGAATTTTTTTCCCATTAGGTTTTTTTTCTTATAAAGTTTTAACAAGGCATATTCTTAATACAATGGATATTAGAGGGAGAGTGTTATAAATATTTTTGTAAATATCCATTCATGATATCTATAACTATATTTGATGTAAAACAGATTAGATTAGGGTTTAATCCATCTAATCTTTAAGTGTTATCTTTATCTTGTAAAATGGTTATTTGCCTATTTAAAGATAAATAGGGTTTTTGGTTCGAGGTTCGAAGTTTAGGTCTAGGGGTCTGGGATTGGGTTTGTGGTTCGAGGTTTGGGTTGGGGTTCGGGTTTTGTGATTAGGGTTTTAGTTTTGAGGTCAAGGTTTGAGGTTTGTTGTTTAGG